AAAATAAAAGAAAAGACTTGATAGTAATACTAATTATAAAAACACTTGTGCTCTCCGCTTCCTGCCGAAGACCATTCAGAGTCACCCTTTCTGGCCACCGAGAGAAGCTCAGTCTCATGGTTTGGTATAATGAGTGCGTTAGTCGTTTTATTTACAGTGAACAATAACATTTCACAAGCTCATGGGGACTGACTAATAGTGATATTGCAAGGCTTAGGTCACTGTGGTCACATCACCAACAAGCTGTTGATATGAGGACTGAATCTTTGTCAAAATCCGGTTATCTAAACTTAAATAGTTACGGATTCGTTCATTTCTGAACGTTTGCCGCACACTTATTACTGCGCAAACAATTAAACAATTCAACTTTATACAGAATCGCACTTTTCGCAAAAATTGTCCGCACTCAAATGCTGCCTCTGTTCTAAGTCTAACAGGTGTCTTTAAGTTTAAAATACTTTATATTTATAACCTCGATATAGTCTCAATATAGTTATTATGCCTGAGCAGTGAGCATTTATTTGTTTTGGCTGTGCTCTTTAAACTTTTGAAGGCATATTGATAGCCATATTTTCTGAGGGCTCCGCCAGCCTGCCATCGGTTACGTTTATTGTAGACGGCTGCCCCCTAGTTCATAGCATTGAATAAAAGAGGACGTCTGACATCACAGTGTCAAGGTGAGGTCAAGTAACACGCTTGCCGCGGTAGCCTCTGAGCAAGCTGAGTATAGTGTTTTTATTCGTTAAGAAAGCTTTTCGTTTCTATTTAGTTACATAGCTGCTAATTTATCCATGATGCAAATTATTATTAGCTGCTAAGCACGATCTGTTCCTAAATTTCTACTCCTTACGTGATCCCTTGGCATGATATCATTAAACTTAAAGAACACATCAACTTCAAGACCGCAGATGGCACAACTCTTTCGAATCAAATGCAGTTACAAACCCAATTTACCGGCATGCAATGACCTTACAACCTGTGTAACAGACTCAATACCAGGACTAAATAGGATCAATCAAGACCGTGAAAGCTCCCTAGCATATTGTCCCCATAAAAATCAAAATTGTTATTTTCTTATATATAATACATCTTACTTAAGGCTCTGGCTATCCCATATTTTACCACAATCGGTCCAATATTTCATCGCTCACAGTTACCAGTAACATACACTGTCAGTTACATACATTGTCAGCTCCCTGACAGTGACGCGTCTACTAGTACTACTACTAGGACTGTAAATGAGCTTGTGCAATGGAATGTCTTCTCCACTACCTACTTACTTACGATGGAGATGTGTAGCTTCCTGGGTCATCGTCTTGATCGACCGCTCTTGCAGCATCGCTGCTGCCTCGTTCATACTCCATGAAAATTTCGTTTATTTTACCACCATACTTGAAAAGAAGAGCTGGCAGTATTAATCTAACCTGGCAGAATGCCCGATATTCTCTACCTTATGTTTACGGTCCACCTGTTGATCATGCTAACACTAAGGTACACCACGTCCCCCTGTGTAACTTTGTTAGTCTTTTATAGTTATAAGTGGGAATGTATAGCTGCCACTTAACGCTCTCTCTCTTCGTAATAACGATTACTGAGCAGGCCAGCAAGGAATAATAAAAAGATTGCCAACTAGACTCCTCCTATCTCTCTCTCTCTCTGAGTATACCACTTACCCTACTTGTCCTAAGTGAGCTGCCCGTACTGCTGAGCTGAGACGGGAGGGTATTCTGTTTACACGCACAATTCGTCATGTTTCCTGTATTTCTATGAATTACATTGTGCTTGTAGTTGTGTCCTGCTTGTGCCATGAATATCGGGAGGTGGTGTATCTTTGTACCGCTGCAGGATATTGGTGGAGTTGTTGGTATTCGTATTTACTTATTTTACAATATGGGAGTATGTACCTACTGACTTTTCCTGATCTCATTTGTTGTAGAATCCAGACTTCAGCCGATCTAGTTACCGCAGTAAATCGCTAATCATGACTGTAAATGTGAATTTAGGAAATTGTTGCATGTCCATTATACAGATTGCAGGGTTGGTCGTTTAGTGAGGAAATCATTTGTTAAGGACAAGCAGTTAAATGTAACTTATAGTTCATTTGCATTGCGTGTAAGGTAAGATTTAATTTGAGCTATTAATAGATATTGACTCAAACCTTCAGTTTACTCGAGGGTTAAAACTTTTATTGCCTCTTGCTGGCTCTTACTGATTCCTATTTCCTTGTCGAAAACTCCCATACTATGCTTTCCAAATTTGTTATCATAGTGGCCGTTTTCTGACCTTGCCAAACCATGTATGTGAAATAAATAGGTCGTCAGCTGAGAGACAACGTGACATCTGCACGTATTTTAGCTGTAGACTTTTTTAAACGTATGCAAATAGTTTTGCCAAATCTGCTTTCACTTCTTTAACCATTAATTTTAACAAAACTAGTTGGAGGATTGAATGAACCGGATGTTTTCTTATCGGTAAAAAAAGAACTGGTCAATAGTTTAGTCGAAATTTGAAAACTGGATTGATTTACATATCTAAAGAATCACTTCTGTAAACTTTGAATCAGAAGTGATGATCAACGAACTTAATTGAGAAGAACATTTAATGGCTGAAAAATGTAATATAATTGATAATACGCCTAATATTATAAGCGACATGATCCAGAAGATGTAAACCCAATTCAGTTTCCATATTTCGACTATTAGTTTTCCATCGATCATGAGCACCCGATCAGATCAAATTATAAAAGTCTCGCTTTGTTGAAAACGTTAAATAAATTAATAATCTGGCAGAGTCAGTAAAGTATGACCAGTCAGCGATAATATGCAAATCATACCTAACAGAACAAGGACAGTTTTTCGCCAATATCTCGTCAGGGGAGCATTTTAACCCTATGTCATGGGGGGTGATTCGGAATCAAAGTCCGAAAATACAATGATTGAAGTTGATTTCAACCCTTTTAGAACAATCTCAAAGATCGACTCTAGAGTGATCTAGCACGCTCGATCAGTCAGCGATAATATGCAGATCATACCTAACAGAAAAATATGCAGAATAATATGCAGATCATACCTCACAGAACGAGGACAGTTTTGCCGTCAAAGGAAGCCGTATTGATCACTGCTAGTGCAGTGCTAGATAATAGTTACTAACTGGGGTCTTCATCAATTTACCACTGTACCTCCTAGTAACTCACAGCGCTGCAACTAGATTACATTTATCTAAAACTGTTACAACCAGTTTCTTTAATCACGTGATATGTTATTGTTGCCGACTGACTGCATGCTAACTATGCTAACTATGTCTTTTCTTGTTGTCCACCAATTTTGTAACACTATCGTACGACGTACATTTGTATTAAGCGGCGAATTATATCATCGAATGAAAGCTGATCGAATTCAACCGGCTTAAAACTGCAAAAACCATACACGTCAAACAACGGCACGGATGTTTCAAGAGTGGGACTAAAAAGAAACAATAGCTTAACAATAAAGTTGTTAGAGTTGCTGCCTTTCTTGTTCAGCTATTGTTCTTTTTAGTTTCACTCTTTTACCGTTCGGGCTGTTGTTAGTTGTTATGAACTGCCGTGGTGTTTCACACTATCGTGTAAACTATGCTTTGTGACTGTAGTTATGTAGCTGTATACGTGTACGTTTTTTATGGTTTATTCATGAGTGATAACAATTAGGCCATTGGGAAGTTTTATATTCTTATAAACGATATTGAAGTGAATCTCCGACTAGACTGTTCTCTCTTGATCATATGACTCAAGATAATGCCTTCTAAATCCTAGCCCAGTTTTTAACAGTATAGATTTAAAATCATTGCGGTCTGCGTATTGCTACATATTTGTTGTCCTTAATAAAGTTGACCAAATATTGAATATATGTGATTTTTGCTGTTGCGAGTTGTGTTAAGGTTTTGATTGTCCTTTTATGTCAACGTGAACAGAACTCTGGGTTCGAATTTTTTTGACACATCAACACCCTGTTGACACTTACATTCATTGAAATTGTAAAAACTATGATTGATAAAATGTTATAGTTTTTGTTTATGTCAGACATGAAATTTCTCCATATTCTATTAATGGATTAAGTATGAAGTCGTTCAATCTGACACATATATCTTTAATTGACAAAAGCTTATTCGTTTCATCATCAGAAGTTGAGAATGCCGGACTCGGAAACTTTTGAACTGTTCGAACCGTTTCCCTATGAGCCAAAGAAGTGGATTCTACCTGGAACTATACTTTTCTTTCTAGTAACTCTTATCATAGGTGAGTAGTGTGCCATCTTCAGACCATAAGCATTATAAACGACTTTTAAACGGGTCACAGCAATTTTTCCTGCCTCCAAGGCAAAGATGCAAAGCCTTGCGATAACCATTTATTCACCCAACATTATTGCTGTAAAACAGTAAATCTTGTTTTCAGTGATGATTGTGGCGAACATCAGAGAAAAATCGGAGAGGTACAGATTACTGCAGCAAAGTAGAGCTGGAGATGGGGAAGGGAAAACGAACGGAAAGGTAACGCAGCACTTCACCCTTCCACCCGGAATGGACATTTCCGCCAGTGTTTACCCGCCCGCACTAGAGGCTTGAGGATGAGTGATGACCATGAAGTGCTTCATGTGGGACTACTGAAGACACTAAATCAATACTTGGTTTCATGCTATCTGATGGTAACGCACGAACATTTCCGACTTTGCTCATTCAAAATGGGTTCTCCGCTGACGTGACATACTTTCAGTGATCCTGATGAATTAATCTAGAGTTATCGTTTGGAGTCTCCACGACCACAGTAGAATCTCGATACTTGATCTTATTACCAACAGGAAAAGTGGGTAATTTAATGAATGGAACAGTGATCCGTGAAGCTGGTACACTCGTACTCGAGATCAGAGTTGTTTCAAATCCATGGTTACAATCATCACGCGCCGTTTTTAAATAGCTATTTTAGCATGTGAATGTTAATATGACCCATTTCAATAAAAGAAAAGGTGTAACAAGTGAATTATTAGTTTTATTTTAAATACTACAACACATTTTATGGTGATATCAGACAGCCCCTTCTTAACCCACCCAATAAAAATCTAGGCTGGCAATAAAAAGGTGTGCATCATTCTAACGGTCCCCAATTTAGGGCAATATTACATTCCTTTTAAGATACTGATAGCAGCGTAACAAAATAAAGTCTAAAGATTACAAAGATCAAAGATGTTTGATTTATTTATGTTTTCTCAGAGTATGTAACACATTAACTCGTGTTACATCTCCGTCTCGTGGCACACGACCTAATTAAATTGAAGGATAACGACTTGATAAAAGACACCATCTAATCAGTTCTGTAACTAATCTAACGTAACGGTCGCTTCAAGTTTAACAACATTGAATCCGTAGTGTTATTCGTTGTCATGTAGCCCTAATAACATTTGTTACAATTGTGATTTCAGAGCAGAAATGCATGATCTTGACCTGGTATCAAGTCAATGTGACATGAAATGGAAAAGGTCGGAACACAGTCATATCAGATATTACTTAACTAAATCTGAGATCCACTCAATCAAATAACTCGAACTCATTGCCAACTTCATAATGACGAACTCTTCCTCGCCTTGTCCCCCGATAATTTAAGATTAAAATAATCGACAAATTATTCCCCGTAACACAATATGACAGTTAATGATAAGTATGACAGCGACCGCAAGCATCCGGCCAATTGCTGTAAATTTAAGTCAAAACTTCGACAAATTAACCGTCTCGAAACATTCTACACTGAATTCAAACTTATAGACACGGTTGTTCTTCAACAGTTCAATAAATAGATTTGTCAGCTTGACGATTAGTGAGCCTGTCAATTGCTTATTGGATAGCACGCATGTCGTATCGCCGTTTCCACGACCAACTGCTTTTTCGCTCCAACCTTGTCTTATCACGGAAATAAATATTCCTTTCCATTTAGCGTCAACCTGAAACATAAAATGTACAAAGTTATTTGAATTTGTTTAGCGTATTAAAACAGAAATTTAGATCATGCAGAAGACAGGACTAGACAAAACACGCATGGTTCAATTGAGGCGCGCGTATTATGGATGCTGCTTATTTTTGCTTGCTTTTTACAGCATTTTATTTTCAGTAAAATGCTAACAACAGTGCTTTAAAAGTGCGCGGCATGCGCCGCGCAGATTGAATAGAAATGACAATATTTTTTAGGACAGGCCGTTTATTAAAACGGGAGATAATTATAAAATGATATCATTCGAAAAGTATCGCAAACGATAACCCATTCATAAAATTATCTGACCCGTAGAAGATACACAAAAGCTGATTCACAATTACGTTTACTTCTATCTGTTACCAAAAGCGGAACCTCATGTAGACTTCCTAATGCCATAATATTAGGAAACCCATTATAAAGAATTAATGACAGGTCTAAATGACATAACATGGTAGCAAAACGAACGAAATTAAATTAAATTGAACGGTCCCCATTCCGCATGGTCAGGCGACGTCATTTTAGGTGGGACCTTTGACCAGTCACTGGTCACCAGTGCTAATAGGTCGCGATATTGTCCCATCATCACTAATCGCCACAGTACCTTTGGATATAGAAGTACATTCAGGATGAGTCAAGATATTCTAATTTTAGCATCAACGTCTCAATATGGTTATTGCGCCAAGGTCGGTACACGTAAAGGGGGTCTGATTTTTACCCGTGATCGAAATATTGAGTTTGTGTGGCCCATGACCAACCACCAGTACCCAAAAGAAAAGAACGCAAATCTTACGCCCAAAAATGCCTGGAATCGGTCACATAATATGTAAGCCGACTTGGGGGAAGGGGTTTCGAAAAGCTTGCTGTTATTTCTACACAATAGCTATATTGCGTTGAGTTTAGAGGGGAAAGGGTCTAGGAGGGCCAAAGTTTTGCTCACATAAAATATGGTTTATAATTTGATTGCGCTCTCATGCAATACGAATGCTGTGGAGCTGTGGGATTTTTCATTTTTAAGTCAAAAGTGGGCATGGCTTCCATGATGGCACCGGCGGAAGTTCCAGGTCACAACCCCTCAAAAGTTTGATCAGGTGCCCTGCTTTTTAGGAATAAAGTTTTACAAATTTCGGGCTGACCCCGCTTAATAAACTGTTTCGTTTTATCTACGAAGGTGTTACCTAACGTTAGTGTTACCTAACGTATACTGTCCTTATTATTCTACCATTTCGTTCCGTAGGAGCACTGAGGGCCTAATAAATTAGTCATACGCTCGAAGCTTAAGATCAGTGTACATTCGTAGAGTAAATAGGCCGGCCCAAATCACGGATAAGTGGATATAATGACATGAATTACATAATGTCCGTAAACATTTTTATCGGCACAGTAAATGTTAACCACTATGCTATTGAATAAATTTGATACGATGGAACACTCTCCTACAAACAAAGGGAGGATGTGTACTTGTACGATTCATGCGGAGAAAATGTATTTTCAGTGTATTTATGAGCGTTTTCGGCGGTACTTACAACCATTATGTAGTGATATTATACATTATATTGCATTTCATCTTAGGACTAATGTATTACATGCACTTGGGAAAGGATCTCTGGAAGCGTTTGATGGCTAATCATCTCACACAAGTCCATTATTGGACTGTCAATATATATCAAATGAGATGCACAGCTGTTTTATCGAGGGAGGGAGTGGTGGCGCTTTAATCGTAGTGGGAGATCAATCAAGTTTGATATGACGCAGTGGCTGGCACTTGCTTTTGTCAACGAGCGTTACAATACTTGTGCGTAGGTCAACATTGTGTCAACATATGTTTCACCTCAAGATTATATACTGAACACACAGACACAGACAAATATCACACCACACTGTTGACATAAAGAATATCTCAAAATTGATTAATATATTATACACCAAGATGTTAACTCACCCAGTTTTTTCCTCTTTTTGTTAGGGGGCATTAGCATGGACATGTGAGGAGCCTGTATGGCTGCCAGAGCTTTGAAAGCCTCAGCTAGGAGATGGGAGTGTGAACACAGAACCGTCCAGCCGGGAGTGTCCATTACTTCGCTCACGTGACTGAAACAATGTCACGTGTTAAGTGGGGTTCACCAGAATGTTCCATGTCAAGATGTTAATTGCTTGTTGTTTTAAGAAAGTAAGCAGTTATTCAGTTGCATTATAATGTTCTGATCTGTTTTATATCCTAACTGACATTAATATTTTCCAGTCGATCAGAACGATGGAAGAAAATCAGTAGTATGTAAGTAATATTAATGTTGATGGTTAACGGGAGGGTAAACATACCGGCAAGAGACAATATATAATGAATTTTTTAGAATATTTAAGACGAATAAATCAATATATTTCACAATAAGTAATAACAATTGCCCGAGGTTAGCCCTTGCAGCCATGCGTATCCTTTGTGTGTATCGTGTATGGCAACGTTGCACAGTATGCACATCTAGAATTAAGCAGCAGCATTGTAGATTCAAAAATAATTATTCGAGGCAATAATTATCAAGCATTGTTGAGATAAATTTCCGAGAAATTTAGGGGCTACTTGTAAATATTGTTTTTGATATTTTTAAGTTTATGAATAATTCATTCAATAAGTTCAGAAGACAACCGCTACGATAATTCGAGTGTAACTTTCTTTCTAACTTCACTCAAGTTAATTCGAGAAGTTGTAAATTGATACACGAGGAAACCTAAAGGGTATTTATAAAAGTATCACGAAATTAAAATTATTAGCCATAGCAAATCATTAGCCCCAAACATATAACATCAAAGTATAAAACATTACGATAACTTAATAGACTACAAAGGTGTGATGCTAGGTAATTTCTTGGAAACTATAAAACCACTGCCCCTCATTCCACCAGCCCTAATCCACCCAGATAACGTCAGTATAACATCACTCCCTTACTTCATACCTATTAATAAAGTTGATGCACATCTCCTTTAGATGCTCAGCGCTGTGCAGGTCCGCTAATATCAGAGTGTCCGCCGCGTTCTCTACTGTCAGGTTGGAACAAAGCGCTTCCTCGCACATCAGCTTTAACCGCTCTAACTGGTACTGAAGGGGGTGTGGTGGTTAGTAGGTACCGGTAGTAGGTACCGGTAGTAGGTACCGGTAGTAGGTACCGGTAGTAGGTACCGGTAGTAGGTACCGGTAGTAGGTACCGGTAGTAGGTACCGGTAGTAGGTACCGGTAGTAGGTACCGGTAGTAGGTACCGGTAGTAGGTACCGGTAGTAGGTACCGATAGTAGGTACCGGTAGTAGGTACCGGTAGTAGGTACCGATAGTAGGTACCGGTAGTAGGTACCGGTAGTAGGTACCGGTAGTAGGTACCGGTAGTAGGTACCGGTAGTAGGTACCGGTAGTAGGTACCGATAGTAGGTACCGGTAGTAGGTACCGGTAGTAGGTACCGATAGTAGGTACCGGTAGTAGGTACCGGTTAATTATAGTACAGCTAGCTGTTGATAACTACTGGTACATACTAGTAGCTACTGGAATTTTCCTTTAGGATGAGTATGCTTTCTTATAAAGTACCTACGAGTGAGGGTATCAGTGATATGACTATGATTATAGATGGCACTTCTAAGTGATATGACCATTTAGATCTGTCTTTCTAATACTTAGCTCATCAATGATGACATTACATACAAATTACAATGTGTTATATTACTGGTACCTGTAGACTATGGTACCGGCAACTACTGAAACATGTCGGAAGTGACTCACTAAAAACTATTGTACGTGTGACCCATGACCCAAGCTCAGCTACTCAGCTAGTCATTGTTTCACAATTCACGTTCAAGACAGCTGGAGCTTGTTGTTTAAAATGGGAGAAATGTCGCCTAGGATATATAAATATAATATGTGAATATCAGAAAGGATGTGCAGGTTTCTTTTACTACATATCAGATGTGGGCTTTTTGTGAACCCTTTGAAGATACGTTTTTAAAGTAGGTAAACAGGGCATTGGGGGCGGGGGCATGGTAACATGTTTTCATGAAATAAGGTAGAAATATCATATATATAATACATGTCCGTCTTTGTAAATCCAACATCATTAGTTTTTATTCGATCAACGCGAAGTGTTTTTCTTTTCTTTCATTTCCGATACAAATTTCAAAAGTTCAATTAATCTTCCAAATGCAATTTTATTTATAGATTCAAAAACATGCACCTTATTTAAATATTTGTTATATTTATAATCTTATAATATTATCTTATAATATGAAGTCAGGAGCACGACACGGCATGTTAAATAATATTTCCGGTAAGGACGGTCAAGTGTGATAGGTCAGGTACATATTTTCACTGGCAGTGTCTGACTAACACTGCACCTGACGACATGTCAAGTTACACCAACTTTCACTGTCCGATGATGGTTTTGTCTGACTGCCAAATAATTAAAATAATCAGAATAACTGGAATAATTGACGATGTTTCTCCTCAGCAAATCAGCCAGAAATGAAACGTTTCTTAAAATGTTACCCGACTCAGAACTACCACTCATGTGGCTTAGAGCTACATAATATCACCGTGAATTTACCATGAAGTACGAGAGGATGCTCTTGAGCAGCTTACACTCACATTGAGAGACAGATGAGCACGCTCGCTGTGCCACACTCTAACACATACTCTCATAATATGTGTGATGTGACGGGTGACCATTGATAATCCATATTAAATTCGTTTATTCAACGGTTAAAGCAACCGTGCACTAAAGGTTAAATTGATTGAAATGTCAAGGGTTATGATTATAATGTAACGCAAGTATTTCTGTGCTATTTATTGACGCAGTAATGCACATTCTCAATAACTCATTTAGATAGGACCACACCGTCAGCTTCTCAAATAACGGTTGAAGTGATTAATCGTCAAAGAGCGTGGAACGGTGGCTGTGGTATCTGGCACGTTTCATATGTATCATGTCTCACTTTATATACACACACACACACACTGCAATGTTGAGTAGAACTACAAACTCAAATGTTGAGTCCCTATGTCATTGTCATCATCACTACTAGATATTATTATATATCTGCTGTCAGGACAGACAGCTGCCACGTGCCTTGTCACGTGACTGAGAATCTCATACATGTTCATTGTTCAGCTGGCCAGTTTAAAACGAGGTTATCAAGTCTGCTATATGAATACATTAGGATTAGCGGGAGAAGGATACTCCACAATAACACTGTAGTACCACAACCAGCTCCTTAAACAATTTAAACTACCTCTAAATTAAATTTAATATAGATTAAATTACATTTTAAAGTGAATTTAGGCATGATAATTACCTTATCTGCAGCGGATAAAAGAGAGTTGGCTAATCGTTCTAAGTTAGGTGATCTGCCCGTGTATATGTACTCCAGCATCTCACCAAAGATTTCTGGTGATAAGTCTTTTATTTCCACGCGGCCCTGAGAAGTTAACATAGATTAAAAATAGAGATATTTCAGCAAGGTTTTTAAATTGCTGTTAAAATATTGATTATATTCATTTTGAGCTTGATTTAAAAAATCAAAACACTTATACCTAATTGAATAGTTTATAAGTTATTATTATGATGTTTCTAAATACTGTTAATAATCACACAATGAATCTGCTTTATTACTGACTGCAAGGCGAGTATATGGCACTTGGCAATATTGAAAATTAAAAAGTTTGCATTTTTATTAGCCAAACAAAAGAATAATAATAGAATAAAACCAAACAATAGAGTAATAATATAGGATAGAACCAACTTTTTCACATCAATGCAATATAACTAATTGATGTAATATTACATAATATGTGCAGTGTGCAGTGTTGTGCCACGTACACGCTACTCGGTAATATCCATACAAACCAAACAGCAAAAATACTTACGTTTTTTTGTTCCTCCATGGCATGTTGGAACATGGCCGAGAAGACGGGCGACCTGGCAGCCAGGATTGCTCTGTGAGCTTGGAACTCCTGACTCTCAATCTCTAACGTGACGTCCGCAAAGCTGCCACTTGACAGAAGTGATGCTAAATCAGCACTGAGAGGATTTCATTTCATTATTAAAGTATTTTAACTTCCTCCTGATTTCGCGCTTAATTCCTACGAATCAAAGATAATCTTTGATATTCTTTAAATTTATCCATAGTAGTGTGTACTGCTAACAGTCTCTATTCTCATGATTTTACTCGCTTCATCCTTTACAGCATCTTTGTAAAGTTCCTTATATAATAACGGACTCCATGAATATGTATCGATAATCGATATTCGAAATAGTGCCGTACAAAATTTATAACTATTGAATTATTCATTACTGAGTTTCAGGTACTTTTAAACATATTATATATCACAGTTATATAATACATATATAGTAAGTTATAACGTATCGTTTGAAGAGAAAGTGAAAAATAATTATACTAATCTTTCCAAATAATAAAACGTTTTATTCTCAGTACTTTAGAGAGCAACGGACGAGAAAATATTTTGAACTTAAATTGAGGCTTCTTGTAAGCTTTAAATACACTCAAGTAATAAGTAAATTTATATACTGATCTCAGATCTTTACCTACAACCCGCATCATTTAAATGTCTTTATCAACTATAAAATTTTATCGAATAACTTTATATTTTCTCTACATCTTAAACGATTTTTTGGTAACTTCTTTGAGAATGTACAGACTTATTGGACATTGGTATTAAATGTAATTTCAATTATATCCAGCTCGATTAATGCATATCTAAAGAATGAGAGATAATGATAAAGGGTCCAATCCATTCATTTTATAACGTGGTACTGCTACACAGTAACATTAAGAATATTCTACGTAGTTTAAAGTTGTTTTACGATTTGATGTAGTTAAACATATTGTAATAGCAACTGGAATTTAAAGATTAAGATGATTTTGCGAGTCGGTGGGATAACTTTGAGCTCAACTTGCGTCAATCAAAACACGTTACTTGTTACCTGCAATAATAATGTTGTCGTAACACCTAACAACCCTCCCGATTTAAATTCAAAACTTAGAATAACGTAATTCTAACCATTTATCTTCGTGCCTCATTGTGAACTACTGGATCGTTATCGATATGAAGGGACTGACGATGAGCCAGGATAAAAACTACTCCTTTACAAAAAATCTCTATACTTGAAGACACATTGTGCGTTACCTCCCACCACTCAGCTCTCTTACACTCCATATATTTTAATATCACCCGCGTGAACATAGTTACTAAATATTATGTACTCTATTTTGTACAGGATAAGTGTGTACGACTTGCCATGTTTCAGCTAGTTTTTACACATTATAGACTATAGAGCTGTTTTAACACAGCGAGTAGAAAGCTTTTTGTTGTCTCAGATCTAAAAAGATTTCTTTATGAGAAACCAATAATAACGTAGGTTTCTTTTCTTACAAGTTGAGAAATGAGAGCTCTTTAACAAGATTACCAGACACCAGATGTAGCGAACTGAATATGTGTTAGGAGAGACTGTGTACATTTCACTTAGTTCACATTAAGAGAGCTTATTTCAGATTCAGAACTCAATCAGAAACATAAAAACCTGATCATGATACCGATCAATATATCTAAATACTGGCGGGGAGGTTATATTGGTGTTGAGGTACAATTTCATTTGTTTCGATCGGTTATTGCTGATTGGTTGATGTCAAGTAGTACATAAAATATGCAGTTAACACCCGCACCAGCATAACCACAATGTGGAAAGAAACAGAATATAAATACAAGGAGTATTCAACTCCCTTCGTTGTACCAAGGTGTACTTATCATCATGTAACGATAATTGTTTTGTTAAATAAGTTGCCTGAGGACGACTGAAATGTTCCCATACAATATAAATATATTATGTAATATACCACGCTAACTGTTTAACGTCGCGTATACGAGTTCCACTTAGCAACTCAGACAATAGCGGTGAAGCTAATAACTGTAACTTATAATATATAGGAGGGTCACTCCATCTTGCTCCACATTATACCCACCATAATTGCCTTATAATGGGACATATAGCTCGGCCCCACATCTTATATTGCCGTGGAAAACGAAGGGAAGAGCTCTCTCTCTCCTGCTGCTCAAGCGGTTTAACTAAATAAACACTTAATAAACATTTTATAAACATGAAGTTTCATTTACCTGAGGTTACATTTCGGGACATTCAGCGACCGGTGATTGCTCTGGCCGAAGATGTTCACTGAGTCTGCCACGACGTTCACCTGACAAAACGAGCAAAGTTAGTATAACTACAATCTTATTAGCTGAATCAGCACTCTTAAATTGGGCGTTTACAACTATTAATAGAGCGGGGAAGTAATTTCTTTACTTCGTGAATCTGTACCAACATATTTTGATCATTCTATCAAGAAATTACTGCTGAATTTTTGTACCATTAAACCCGTTGGAGCTGCAGTGAACTCAAATAATTTTCAGACATGGTCATGAAGCAATGCCAAAGCAAGCGTGGCAACATGGCTCTGAAGTATCGTGTACTGGCCATCACTTAATCTTATATTGGACGGAATACGGCCCAGATTAATTGTTTTGTCCTCAAGAGCATGTCAACTTTGAATATAATATGACGTAGTACAAGGACTATGGAGTCTATAATGTAGGTACTAAAAATTCTGCAGAATTCATTGTCCAATCTTCAAGTTTGAGGTATAAAAAATAACTTAAAAGTTCACAATATTAAATTACGTAAACAGATAAGTCCTGATCGGATGTAAAATCGATTTCCTATTTCCTAAATGCTTACCTCGCAAAATAAGGTTAACTTATCATCGGGCAGCAGGCCATTCGTATGATCATCCATTAAAAAGTCTCTTCTGATGAACTTTTTAAAGCCCCAATCTTTACCCTGCACGAATCTGTAGGCACGTTGACTCTCTGAAATAGAATGTGCGTATAAGGTACGACAAAATGGCGAGAAATTCGCTGTATTATCTCTAAATAATTTGTGCTACGTTCGCCACGATAAAAAGTCAAAATTCATGAAATAAATAAGTAGAGTAAGTAAGCCTTGTAAACCTTGTAAACCTTTGACGATTACCTCTATTTATTTTAATAGTTACCATAAGGTTATAATATCAACCTATGTATTTAAAAGCTAAAGAATTGATTACATTATATAAGTTGCCGTATATTACATTGTCAAATTTAAATTTAATACAATATTATCATTATTATAATGACACGTCTTAATAATACGTAATATGTCACCCAGGGAACTCACCCATGCCCTTGGTTTCCTCTCTCTTATGGTTGAGTATTGAAAACTTGAACTTGGCATGAACTTCGCTCTTATCGCAGGAGATAAGAAGGAGATAAAGAGAGAGATAGTCTTTTGATTCCTCGTCCAAACCTTTGGGGTTTACTCTCAGACACCTGCAGAAGAGAACTGTAAGAATTCCAACTTAATAAAGTTAAATCTGGTTATTAAACCTGGGCAGGATAAACGTAATTTTCATCTCTAGTTCAGTTTTTATCTAAAATTGTAAGAAAACTCCCGAAGAAACTAGAGCATATAAAACTACATTCAGCCACTATGTCAGCAACCAATACCCATTACCCATCCCTAAATGTATATTACGCTAAGCTTTTACCAGTTAAAGTTACACTGTTTCAGCCTCTACAACTCACGAGGGATTCTCAATGTTACGTAACAGTGGTATTTAGACAATGGTTAAAATTGTATTGGCACGTTGAAATTTGATTACAAAAGGGAAAAAGAAAGTTAAACCTCCATTACTTTTAGGATGGAACCACAGATTGTACTATATTTAACTGTATATAATAAGTATAATAGTAAGTAGTAGCAGTAAGTGGTTCGTGTATAAAGGATAATCGGACATCACCGGCCATTGACGTCAAACTTAAAATGGCTTAACTTTTATGCAAAATCAAACCCAAAGATAAAAGACTGGAGGAAACGACCTGTGCTATCAGACCATAATATGAGACGGAAATATAATGGTAGATTATAGACATCCTAGATTGTATGGTACATGCATTTATTGAATTACTGAATTTCATGTTGTCAAGAAGCTAACTTTTTGACACTTTCAAATTATTGAGGCATCACCCGCTTTTTAAAATCAGAGCTCCAGTTGTTAATTGTTATATTCCGATTAGGAAGAAACCATTTAGAGGTCAACGTATGCAGTGGCTAATGCACACACGCCCACATATTTACTGGACGGCTAAGTGTTGGTATATTTGCAACATCTCTCTCTCAGGTCGATGACTTAACATATAAATGGACTGAAAGACTTTAAATTGTGTCACCACAAAACGTCATGGATACATTAAAGGAGCCACGAAGCTTAATTTTAAGTGATCGTTGGCATTTTTAACAACGAAATGCACCCCTCTCAAAAGTAATGATCCCTCGACAAACCTGTTGTTTGAGGGCCCCAAAATTTAGCATAAACGATCGAAAGGAGAGAGGATATGGGGGGAGGGGGGGGGCCAATGATGGTAGGTGCGATATTTAGCGAGATGTAGCTTTGTTACAGGCTACAGCTCGGTAACAAATATGGCTAAAGCAAGCCTTCGTAGCATACATCCCGGAGGGTGGTGCGTTATATCATTATAATATGGAATATCAATATCATGCGCGACCTGAGCCATTACTACAAGTTGAATTGTAGTCTACAATCTGGCCGGAGAATTAGAAAATATATTTAATTGCATTGTTTGGGGAGACCACCGCGCTTCTTATTACAGTATACTGCAGTACCTCTGGTTTGTACAGTGGGGTGGGATTTAACAGTTAACAGTAAGCAGATACCTATGTAATGTAGAATAATTATCGAATATTTGAAGAGAGCATATCTTTAGGTCGAGTGCTAGGAGACAGCGCACAAAGAATTGGATTGAATTTTAATTTGATCATAATTCATAATTCTACCAAGTCAGGTACACATTTTCGGTAGTTCAAGCGGTACCAGCGCCGGTAGGGTGCCAGTAGGGTGCCGGTATCCGCTCGAACTACTGCATTTTCGTGCGGGATTAGATAGGCTGGTATATATCATGATTAGCCATTAGACAGCATCTTCCTTTAAACATCCGATATGACTCCGGTATAACAAGACTGCAACCGGTCCAGACAAAATGAGGCCAACGAAATGCGGTCCTAACTGAGTTCTCATTGCAAACCAGGTCACATGTACTTAGGGCATAAAACCAGGTCACATGTACTTACTACTTAGGCTCTTAGGGCATAAAACCAGGTGACATGTACTTAGGGCATAAAACCAGGTGACATGTACTTAGGGCATAAAACCAGGTGTCATGTACTTAGGGCATAAAACCAGGTCACGTGTACTTAGGGCATAAAACCAGGTCACATGTACTTAGGCTCTTAGGGCATAAAACCAGGTCACATGTACTTAGGGCATAAAACCAGGTCACATGTACGTAGGCTCTTAGGGCATAAAACCAGGTCACATGTACTTAGGCTCTTAGGGCATAAAACCAGGTCACATGTACTTAGGGCATAAAACCAGGTCACATGTACTTAGGCTCTTAGGGCATAAAACCAGGTCACATGTACTTAGGGCATAAAACCAGGTCACATGTACTTAGGGCATAAAACCAGGTCACATGTACTTAGGCTCTTAGGGCATAAAACCAGGTCACATGTACTTAGGGCATAAAACCAGGTCACATGTACTTAGGACATAAAACCAGGTCACATGTACTTAGGGCATAAAACCAGGTCACATGTACTTAGGGCATAAAACCAGGTCACAAAGTTCAATAACCTGGATTTGCCGTCTCCCATGCCCAATAAACTGTACATTTATATTGTAAATTCTTAGATTTACTTGAACATTAAATTTCATACACTTCTAAAAGGCTGAACGAAAATAGCAAAATGACGATCCTTCAATCAGTTCAATGGAAGACCCCTCTACTTACTACTCATACAAGTGTGACAAGTGTAGTGTACACTTACATTAATCATCATTGTGAGCTATACAATATACACATCTCACTAAATACCTTGCTTCGCAATCAAGATATTATGATGTACAATGTACATACTCGGTATATTATACATGTATATTAATTATTATATAATAACATCTGTATTCTGTAATGACATGTTTATTATTTGATCTAGAAATAAAGTTCTCATATCCGCGCTGCATGATATGTCAGACGACTTTCTCCGTAACTCTTCCTCCCGGACGCACTGGACAGTGACAGACGACAGTGGACACTCGGCCACATAATTAGAGAATAATTATTTTGCACATTTGGTCCCCCAACACAGCGTTGTCAACGTTATTTGGAATTTGATTTACAGCAAATCAGACGTCTCATTAAATAATGTGCGGCTGGCGTTACGAACTCGGATTTCAGAAGCACAACTCCTCGGTACGAATCCGTCATATATGCGGACTATTACTACTGCTCCAGGATTAGTAATTTTATCGTTCTACAAGAAATTATGCTTGGTATCTGGCATCCCAGCTTTGAATAAATATTAGTAAATAGAAAATATTTTTACTTTGTAAAAAAGCGGAAAGTTTCGAAATTAAGGAGAGGAATTTAACAATCTGTGCAGAAATCTGGAGTAATTTTCATCCAATCGTTCATTTTCCTTTATTCTTCAAAATATGATCGCTACATAAGGGGTGAGTGTGGATGTTTAGTGTTTACTTTTAGGACGAACGTGCGAAATTTACAAGATTAATATTTAATACATACTTGTTATTTTAATGTTATTTTAAATAGTGATTCAAATTTAACCCATCGTTCCTTTCTGGATGATGGCCTGCAACGATTTCTTGATAGCTGGTACAAATTACACTGTAACTGTAAGCTCGGGTGTAGTATATAATACGCGTAACATACTAAGAGGTTTCGTTCAATACGCTTATCCACGCAAAATGCTTGAATTCAATACACGTTTGTACCTCTAACTTAACGCTTAAAAGTATGTTCAAAGAACATTTTTATGGATTTGTTAAACTTGGTAAAATATCAAGTAAGTGCTAAATATTAAATTGACTTTAAAAAACATAATTCATCAATAATTTTGTGTTAACAAGTAATTCGAAGGTCTGGCTTTTCGGGCGAAAAATAAACATTGCACAGCACACATTGAATTTAAAGGTAATAAGCTGACCTGCTCAACGTTAAACATACCATTTCATATTGTCATTGGGGCCGGCACTGAAGGTTGAGCTCTTCAGAGTCTCTCCCATCTCTTCTCTACAGTAGCTGAAGTTGTTTATCGTCCACATGTACGAGAACTTTATCACCTGGTAAATGAGAAATTAATAGTTAAGCTTAATTAAACTTAACTTAGTTTTAAATTTGCTTAAACTTCCAGGCTACGTTTTTAATAGTCAGATTTACTTAGTAATTCAAATTGGCAAAGTTTAAATGATTAAAAGCTTACTTAAATTTAGGTTAGTTTTAATAAAATTGGACTTAATCTAGCCTAGGTGATTAAATATGATGCAATGGCCTGGTTTGAGAGCGCTTGAATTAGGCACGTGACAAAATATATAATTTTGATAACAAAGCTAGGTTCAGATCTCCACGTGATAACTTTATAAGTTGTCTGTATTAAAGCCCTGCCCGGTACCACAAACACTTGTATCAAGATACAGTGTGTTGAGTGTACCGTCATTCGTCACAAGGGGAGATAAGTCGCACACGCTAAAACTCAGGTTTGATATTGCCATATATTGCCATATTATGGTCAGAGTATGGAAATTGATACAACATGTTGGTAGACAAATCAAGACGATTCCTCCTCAGTTTAATTTTGTAACCGTTCATAATTCCGAGGATTCAACATTTCTAGTTGGAATGTAGGTGTCACATGATTTTAACACGTAGACGTGTGGAGATGTAATGTGCTGTTACATCTACTGACCCGTGTAATGGTATATAGGTTCATATATTTGTATTTGTTTGTCCGTTATTTGTCCTTATGTTAATGTTTCCTCTCATGGTCTAAAATAGATTCTTTACCATGATGGCAACAAAGTACTAATCTTTGTTAGTTGATACCAGCGCAGCCAAATTGGAGAGCCGGCCAATGGCTGTGTTTCTAGTTAATTAAAAGGAAGAACTACTTCAAGAAGTGAGCGATATCTAATCAATAAGGTTTATTCTCTAGCCCCATGCGATTCATTACTATACCTATATAATCAGCTGATATATAATAGATAATATCCAACTGAAAAAGCATCCCTTTTTTACTTTAAGGTATGTATCAACTGACAGTTGCTAAACTTGAGACAAAGTCATTATCTTGACCATGAATAAATATTGCCTATTTCATCAATTTTATGTATAACATTAACATCGGTTAATAACAATATGAAGCTGTGACGTCATCCATACACACATGCTAATATTACAGTTTTATTAGACATTTCGACATCTTGAGAATCACTGGTGCGTCAGAAATTAATTACATTTACCCCGTTTTGGTTTATCTCATTCCCATAGATGCTCTCCGTGTAAAAGTAAACCTTTAAACGCCCATTAGTATTACGAGTTAACAAGGCAAGGGTAGAAAGGCCCATACAAATAAATACATTTTATCATTTAGAAATTAGAATACTTATACTCCTCCCACGTCACTATCTTTAGTGAAGTGTCCGTTAACTAATAAAATGCCACTGCAAGTGAAATACCGGGCACTATTTTGAACGTACCTTGACTTGAGTGAGACACCAGCTCTCGGCGATCGGTGGACTGTTCGTGCTATCGACAACATTAGCATGTAAATGTTCACTGGGAGAATCGGCCACCATCAGCACACACTATAGAATCAGTGTAGAGATTTGAGTGTGTCTCCGTGTGTGTGCTGGCTACATTTTGTTCCTGGACATTTTACAAGTCTTCTCTAGAGTGGGGAAGTAGTGGGTTAGGTTTCCAACGTGTGAGAAGAGGCATGGTGTTAATTATAAGTTCGTGAAATTTTTAGATAAACGAAAGCTCTGAATCAGTTTGAAGTATTATAGACGAACAATAAATAACCATGATACATGACGCTGTAAGATTGTGCACTTCAAGTGATTTGAATAACCTCATAGCTTAATTTATTCGATGATGCACAGTGCATCGCTATAATTAGAAAATTATACATTATAAATTAATTTCCACCAGAATCTACATGATTCCCCGACAAATACACTACATGATGCTTGAACAAATTACAGAAATATGCGATTTAACAAATTGAATAGATAAACTGAAGACAAACAAACTCGTACAGCAAACTTTAATAATGATTCGGACAATAAGCATTTAAAAGCTAAATTAAGAGCAAAATTCTTAAAATTCTGAACTCAACAGGTCCACTAAAAGTATGAAAAGCACATAACGCAGTTAAAACTTATATTATTCCAATGTTAAAAACATCAGGGCCAGACGTCGAGCAATGTAAAAGAACTCACTGCAAAAAAACAACAGTGTGACGCTTCGCAAATCAAGAAAAATAGCGGATAAACTCAACAGACTCAACGTAACATAACTATATTATATGTAGAATATAACTGTAGGATACGTGCACTTTGTAGAGTTAAACTGTACGACTAGGATTCTCTACTTTAGCCAAGATTTGGCAAAGAAGGTAGAGTTACGACGTATTGAATAGCGGCAGTTAATCAGTTATCACTTCCACGAACCAGATCCTGAGAGAATGTAGAATAGAACAATTAGAGAAACGCTAATGGCTTTTTGACAAGTTACTGTTAGTTGTACGGTTAAAAGTGCTCCATTACTCTATCAGTCGTCGACAAAGAAAATCGTCGGAATTTAAGCTCTAAATGTTTGAGAATATAAGTATTAAGAGTTACTGGTCTTTGAAAGTATGAATTATCTTCGATCAGAAATGAATCAACAGCATAGTAACTATTAAAGGTTTTCTAAAATCTTTGACACTGATGAAAATATGTTCTTGATCAATTAATAACACTGAGGCACTGAAGTATGGAAATGGAATATAGATTAATTTTATAACAATTTCATTATCAGATTAAATAAAAGATGTAACTAACATTTAATCGAAACAAGGAGCACTGAAATAAGAATTAGCATTAGAACTAGAATGGCTTCCCCCGTAGAATGTTAATTAGAATTAAATTTACAGAGAATTAAACATGATAAATGAGATCAGTCGTAATTTAAAAAGCTTCTTTGAGCTGTGTTGGGCACTTAAATTACGTTAATGTACATTTTTACATTACTCACTCGATATATATATCCTCGAAAAGAAAGTCAATCAATCCGAACCAAAATTTATAGGCAAGGTTAGATAGAGCTTTTAATCAATTTATCATGATCTGATAACCTTAAATGTTTAATTTATTGGGTTAAATTCAAGACCTGTGTCAACTACTCATCCAGGATTCTGCACACAGACATACCCACCACTTCTTGACTGCACGCAAAAACATTCTGAACACACACACAACAAACACACACAGTACACACACACACACACACACAGGCACAGTCCACATATCATGTGGCTTGTTCCACAGCCCCATTGAGGCAGAACAATAGAAAAGTTACTCAGTGCATTCCCGTGAGGAGTGCCCGAGTTACATAGCAATCAGTTCCTGTGCTGATACGTGTGTACATGAAATTAGTTTGAACACGGCTCCAGAGAGGGGAGTGCTGAGATTGGGTTATATTACAGATTACAACTAAGATTGCAGAGTACTGAGCTCTTTCTTGCGCACTAAAAGACAAATCCTTTTTCATCGACTGTTATAGCTGCATTGAAGAGTGCAATGATAATTTACAGGTCCATGAAAAGAGCAAGCTAATAATGGCCCCAGTGGCAAATAGTCAGGCGTCCAGGAATTTAACACCTAGTCAAAATTTGTTGATAACGGGTAAAATAAGATTCTTGTGCAAAAAATATTCACATTAATTCAAAATTAAATTAAAATTAATCGCTCTCAGGGCTCACGCGATGTTACATTACTTTATAGACTCGAAGTTCGAATCGAGCGCATTCCTAGATTCCATGACTATTTCTTACCTATAAGATTGCTTGACTATTTTTTGCGCATTCAGACACCAAAAAACGCGCAGAAAACGCGCGCTATCCATTCCTGCTTCCTCAACTTCCCGGATTATGAAAAAAATAGTCATGTAAAATAGTCATGTGAAATAGTCATGCAAAATTTCAGCTCTGATACGCTAAAATATCAAGTTAATCTTAAACAATCGACAATCTATGAATCCTCCCAATCCTCCCAGCCATATTAACTGGTGAACGGTGTAAATATAGAGCGGTATTTTAAAATTTAGCATTCAAAATTTTATGGATTCAAGTTGGCTCCTTTAGTCTAGATTCATTTAGAAAATTCTTGAAGTTCGAGTAATACAGTATTCTCAGGGTTTGGCTTAAGGAAGCTTCACATCCGAGACCGATTTCCACGATCAATTTAATATTGTAGCTACAAGTCAACAACAGTGTAAGTGGGAAGGAGTGAATCTAGCCATTGCTACTATATCAGGGGAACTCGTGTGTTCTAGGCTTAAGCAAGCTTCACATCCTAGATCATCTAGAGTACAGTGCAAGTGTGAAACAGTACTTTAAAATTGTATTTTTGATTTGCTCGCTTCTGCATTTCAATAATACTCACAATTTGGTTTTAGAGTTGTATACTTTCCCTAAGATTAATTGTAGTCTAGTTAATTACTATGTCAAACTACTACTACTACCAGTACTACTACTACTATGTCGAAACTAAGTCCGATCTACGCCAGATAACCCCTCCATTATACATCCTTATCCCGCTTTAAATCCGAAGTTTGCCATTGTATATTGTCAAAGATTGTATGTAGTATGTAACCTGGCAGAAGCAAGCTTCAGATCCAAAGTCACTTCAAAAGTATCAACACAGGATCAAAACCACTTCTAAAGTAGCGAATCGTCCAACATGCTGGGGATAGTTAAGCCTTGGCGCTCTAACTAGTAGGCAAGTTTGGGGCCTATATACTGCGTTTAAAAAATATTTCCTTGCGTTTCAAATAAATCAAAGAATTCTCAGAAATTTTTTATTTAATTTTGCATATTTATCCGGTAATTATTCTAATGGATACGCTAAGCATTTCAAACTAATCTTGACCTCGGAGAAGAGCTGACCAGTGACCAGTCGGCCGCGGAGCGGCCGAAAAATATATAGCCTTTTTTTCTTCCCAAACTGGATTCCTAGTCATATTTAAAATTTATTCCACTGGGATAATGGCAAGTAGGTGTTTTTGATTGAAATAAATTTTCGTGCACATACAGAATGAATGGTTAATAATTTAATATATATGTAGACCAAGCTCTGTGCACGGGATGCTTCCTGGAAGAATCCAGTTCTTTTAGCGGGGCACCCTACCTAAAGCCAAATTGAGATATAATAATCATATTCCTAGGGAAATAATCAGAAATCGAATACCAATCAAATAATATGATATATAGGAGTAGTAACCATATTTACTATGCAAAATGCCCCAACCACATAGTGTAAATTTATATAAAATTCAAATTCCATATCATCATTGTCAATATAATAGCCCAAGCAAAATCAAATAACTTCTTACATACCTTACTGTCATACTACAAATTAATTAAACATTTGAAATCTGTTAACCAGAGAATAAATTTCTAAACCTAATGCGAGTGAAATAATTTAGATGCAATAATGAATGCCTAATGTGAGTATCATCTGTCAATGTCCTTGTAAAACAGTCTGTACAAGAGATATGAGTAACTAATATAGAAGAAAAAAAACAGGTGTACAGGCAATTTCTAAAAATTATGCGTACAATCACAACTCTCACTTCAAGATGAAATAAAACTTAGAGGATCACAAAAAAGCTGTATCATAGTAGGCCAGAATTTTGATTATATTCGACGTCCGTAGTACAACATTATACTAGTATTTGTACATGTGGTTATGGATTAATCATTCCTGGAAGCCAAAATTATTAATTTAACACTTTTAGTGCTAATACACCAATCACTTGTCTATCTATTTTGGACCCATTGCACAATGCACATTACAATTATATTAGAGTCAGAAAAACCATATTTTACAAAACTTATCCTGTTACTTTTAGTAACCGACAAATCTGCATAAGTTGGATAATATGTACATAATATTGCAGTGCGGCTTAGTGTCCTTGAATTGTGATTCTATATTACCATCGCATCATAGTGTATAATCAATTGAAATCTGACATTTACTGATATGATAATGGAATAACTCAAAAAACAAATATTTTATCCATGTGTTTGAAATCATAATTATATACGATCAATTTGTCTCTTCACCATCAATAAATTCAAGTACTGCCGTGATCAGATTTCTGGCAGTGCAAAGAGGCTCCATTTGCATATTATCACTGGCCCAGGATAAATTTGGTCACGACTCACAGTAGTCTTGGAGTATTTGCATTACACACGAAAGACAGAAGAAAAATGTTTATAACAAAAGGATTATTGAAGTGGAACATTTACGCCAAAAGTTCTATTAACGACAGGTAAAATGGGAAGAGAGACCAGATTTTTACAAGGCCAGATTTTTACAATTTTAATTTATTTATTGAATTATGTTTTCGAGGGTGTCTAACCTTATAAGGAAAACAAATTATCATTGCTGAATTTATCTGTGTATATTGTTTTAATGCATTTTACTTCAATAGGCTAAGTGGCTTGTCTGACAAGCTGTGTGTGCTCTTGAATCAAAATATAATGGGAGGTTTTAGAACAATTACTCAGAAGACTAGGTCATTTCATGACCTAGCAAAACTTTTCAAAACAGAATGTGTGCACGAACATAGGCACGCAGAATCGACAATTAGCGGATAGCTAGCAGATAGTGACCAGAAGCTAA